TGAACATTAAATAAAGTTCTCTCTCTGTGCAGCTAAGAGTCGCTCCATCTCTGTGCCTTTGGAACTGGAGGCTCAGATCAACACCATGCTGTCCACTTCAGCTTTGAACTCTTTGTCGCGCACCAATCCAAACTACAAATCCTCCTCCCGCCACGTCCGCCCTAGCGCTCCTACCAACCCCTGGGACTACAAGAACATCATCGAGAAGCTGCAGGTGCACAAGGGCACACCGAAAAAAACCCTTTTCTTTATTTACATTAACTTGCAGTAAACTGTATTTAACCTTGTTCCCTCTGTATCTTCCTCAGGACATCATAAACACTCTGGAGGAGCGTCTGAAGCCACTGGTGAACGCTGAGCTTTCGGTGTTGGTGGATGTCCTCCATCAGCCGGAGCTGCTGTTCCCTGAAGGAACCGACATCCGACAGCGCTGTGAGTCCGGAGGATTCATTTCCAAGTAGGTCATCTGAGTGTAAAGCATGCTTGAGCGCCGACACTAGAGGGATGAGGGGAGTTATGATGTTCGTGTGCTGACCAGGTTGATCCAGCACACCAAGGCGCTGATGTCTTCAGAGGAGAAGCTGTGCATCAAAGTCCTAAAGACTCTGCAGGAGATGCTGATCAGGACTCTGGACTTTGATGAAAAGGTGAGTTAATAGTAGCTGAACTACCACAATCAGCCTGTTTAACTTAAACCATTATAATCACGGTTGAACAACAAAGGCAGGTCCTTGAGAAATACAGTATATTAAAAAAAAAAACAGTGTGGTTGTGGTCATTCTTCTATGGTGGTTTTGTAGCTTCCAGAGGTCCTTTTGCAGTTTTTCCATATTTATGCTTATTTTATTTGAGACAGTTTGTCTGGAATGGCACCACAACCCAAACACTCCCCTTTCGCTGAATCATCTTCACCGGTTTGTTCATGTTTGCGTTCCCCACCCTCTCTCGTCTTTTCCCCATTCTTCAGCCTCTGCCAGGCCTTGTTGCTGCCACTGATCATGAATGAAGCCTTCCCCGAACTGAAATCTCTGGCTTATTTCTTGGTTTTGTTTCAGTTAAATGTAACAGGATGGAGACTGAATGGACTTTCTGTTGATTTGTTTCAGGGACTAGTGCTGCGGAAAGTTTTACTGCAAAACTACTTGTTTCCAAACAAGAAGACCAACCAGAAGAATGACTTGGCTGAACTTGGAGTTCCAGGTAAACTGCTTCATACGAACACTGTTCACAGGAAATAATAAACACTGCTCAAATAAAATGCAGGAGACATTTAATCATAACAGTGTAACATAGTCAGATAAGTTCAGGAATGTCATTGTGTTCAGTGAAGAACAAAACATCCGAAATCCGTTTCACCTGCTTTGTTAAATTCAATTGTAGACTGGACACGAACCCAAAAAGAGGATGACTTTGCAGGTGGTGGCTTCATTTCTCTGTCTTTATCC